ATATATATATATATATATATATATATATATATATTAAGTTAGACGAAGCAATTCCCAACAAAGTTTTGAATAAGACAAATATAATACATATTGTTATTTCTAACATGTGTGTTAGTGTTTTAGAAAAACATAAGTACTGGAAAGTTGAAAAATAGACAACACGTGCCACTTCTTATACTAGAACCAAGATAAAGGAAGGAAAGCTTCAAGCATCAGACGGAATGGTCAAACAAAGCCAAGTCCATCACAAGAAGGAAAATGATCAAGCTTCAGACGATACAGATGATAAACAAAACTTCTTCAAATACCAAACGAAGATGAGTTAAGGCAAAGCATAAAATGAGGATCAGACAAAGCAAAGTCAAGTGATAGATGAAATACGACATGAGCGCAGACGATAATGAATCAAATACCATACGTAGGTGTGTCAAGCACAACCTAAAGCGAAACATAAGGACTCAGACGAAGGTTGGTCAAGAATCAAACAAAAGTCAACTACATATCAGACGAAGGACAACACAGACTAAAAAGAATTTCAGACGGAAATGAAGTCTATCCATCTACAATGTTGACCAGACCAAAGGAAGTCAAAGTATTCATGACAAATGCTCAGACGGAGATCAAGTCTTGACATGCACATGGACTACCAGATGCAAACGAAGACTGTCATGCAAGCATTTGAATAATTAAGTCTCAAGGAACAATTCAGGCATCATCTACAATCATACAAGAGCTCTCAATATGATCGCGTGCTAAAAGGAAAAGAAGAAGAAAGAGAAATGCAAGCCTAAAAGTTGAAGCATGCATGTGTCAAAAAAAGTACATTACTTTTTCAGATAAAGGTAACACCTCTGCAACTACGATGACCGGAAAAGGACAAGAAATTCCTAGGTCATAGTTAAAGTCAGACACTGCAGCTAAAAAAATGCAAAAGACTTCATGCAATGTCTATAAACAGGAAGCAACATTTAATGCAAGATTTAATGCATTAAATGAAAGATCAAATTAGTCATGAACGACTACATTCTACTTCAACGGACGCTTGTAACGGGCAGATTTTATAGAGACTATATATATGTCATGACTTCAAACCTGGAAAGGTTGGCGAAGATTGATTCCAAGCCCAACAAGCAACAAAATTAGAGACAAAGCATACATAGTCAAATGTACAATATTGTATTGTATTTATCTCTATAAACTAAGGAGTTATAAGTGTAACTTAGGAACATAAACCTTAGTGAGTGTAGTAAATTCTTGTATCCTCTCTGTGAGAGTAAACCACACACTCAAAACAAATTGTTTATCATTTGTAATGCTTGAAGAGGTTAGGGAAAGAATACTTGTATAAGCCTGGAGAGACTTGTCAAAGAATCCTCACTAAGAGCCTGAAGAGGCTGAACAAAGAATACTAGCGTTAATGAGTGAAGTTAGCAGGCCAAGAGTGGTCAATAATCCTCACTGAGAGCCTGAAAAGGCTGAACAAAGAATACTAGTGCTAATGAGTGAAGTTAGCCAACCAGGAGTGGTTGATAATATGATGGCATCCTTACTCGCATGAACATGAGATGATGAGAAAAGGAAGAGGACGCCTACTACAAGGATCAAGTTCTTCAAAGGTGGCACAAGGTTTTAGGGTGGATGATGATGAAATGGACGAAAATGGAGGTTGGGTAGAAGGTGTTTAAGGAAATGCTTGAGAAGGGTACTCTAGGGTTGGCTCACTTCATGATGATGAAGGCCACTTCTAGGGTTATTTCTCTCAAGGTGGAGATGGGAGGGAGGTGGCCGAATTAGCCAAGGGTGACTAAGGAAAGATATAAAGGCACAAAAGGCTCTCTTTATATTCAATATCCAAAGTATTTACAAGGTGTGGTGCCTAGGGTATTTATAGGAGTGGGAGGCATCTAGGGTTGCATTTAGGGTGCCAAATGCACACCAAATGAAACCCAAATTAACCCTAGATGCAACTTGGTGGCCAAGGATGGAATCTTTGGGTTTAGTTAGGCTACATCTAGGTGCATGATAAGACCATGCAACCTTTGCCCTCCACTTGGGCCTAAGCCTTTCTAAGTCCAAAAATAGGTCCAAACACCACCAAAAATGCGTCTAGCTCCCTAATTAAATACCTTAGCCCAAAATTAAAAACCTATGATCTAAAGTACCCCATAATACAAGGGTAACATGGGAAATACAATAGAAAATAAATCCTATAACTAAGATACCCCAAAATACAAGGGTAAAATAGGAAATTAAAGACAAGGGCAAAAATAGGAATAAAAATAAATGTTATAAAAACTTAGGAGCTAAGGCCCAAAAGTAGGCTTACTCCTCCTATGATTTTTCAACACCAACTCATTCCTCTTGCCTCCTTCAATATATCACCTCTTGGTCTTCTTGGCCTTAGTGTTATTCCATCATAATACTCGGGGACCAAGAGTGGTCGAGAATACTCCCTAAGAGCCTAAAGAGGCTGAACAAAGAATAGTAGCGCCAATGAGTGAAGTTGGAAAACCAGGAGTGATTGAGAATACTCACTAAGAGCCTGAAGAGGCTGAACAAAGAATACTAACGCTAACGAGTGAAGTTGGCAGGCCAAAAGTGGTCGACAATACTTGGCAAACCAAAAGTGGTGATAATACTTGTACTTAATTGAAAATCTAGTGGAACCCTTCAATTGAAGGAGACTAGACGTAACTCAGTCTAAGCGAACCAGTATAAAAATCGTTGCACTATTTATTTATGTTTCAGACTCAATTTCATTTAGTTGAAATATCATACTAAAAATTTCGTCCATTTCTTATTCTTCACTGCAATTCTCTTCAGACGAAAAATACATATGTTTAACTTATTATGTTAAGAAACATTTTCCTTGTGCAGACGATAAACTCTCAGACGCAAAATCTTTTGTTGAGTCAATCCTGCACAATTTTTTTAACTATTCAAAATAATATTTTTATTGGACGAAAAAGAGTCTCTCTGGGAAAACGGTTTTAAAATTTCTTTGTTCATACAAACACATATTCAACCCCCTTCTATGTGTTTTTTCTCTGACTTCAATATAAATATATATATATATATATATATATTTCAAGGATTATAATAAATTCATTTCAACCCACCATTGTCGTGTTTATTTAAATTAGTTCATGTGTGTTGACTCAAGGGCTCAAATATGATCTAATTGTTCATATATTATGGGTGTGTTTGTTAAAACTAGCTTATAATTTAGTTGAAAGATTATAAATTGATTGAAAACTTATAAGTTGTAAGCTAAGAGCTAGAAAGTAGAAACTTATAAAGCTAGCTTACTAAATTGAAAGTGTTAGGCAGATTTAGTTGATATTTTTTAACCGATAAATGTAAAATGACATAAAATAATTTTTATAATGAGAATGGAAGAATGATAATATAGATAAAATAGTTTTTAAATTAAAAATAGTAAAAAAAAATAGTTTCAAATAAATTAAACAGGAATTGACTAGGAGAATGAAAAAAAAATGTTAAAAACTTATCAGTTTTAAGCTAGTTACTTCAGAATAAGTTACCGGCTCTAAAAATTGACTCGTATAAATTCTTGAAACAAAAAAATTTATTTTGGTGATACTAACGTATAAATTAGTCAAGCTTATCAGTTCATAAAATTCCTTTTCAAATACACTCTATATGAGTGGGAAAATTTGTAATTTGGGCTTCTATTGTTATTTTTCTTTTTCTTTTTAGTAGTCAAACCGTTTTGATTTTACTTTTTTTTTATCTGTTTTGAATTGGCATTAAAAAATACATTTTTGTAAGCAAAAATATAATTAGAAAATTAAATAGTTATTGAAAAGTCAAAGGTTGAAAGTATTACAGATCAACAAGCATTTAAATAGTAAAGATAAAATTTTAATTAAATAATAAATTAACGGCTTTAATAGGTCAAAGTTTTAAAAAAATAAGTTAATATAAACCTTGTGATTGTGTATTATTTTCTTGTTATTCTTTAGTTACTTTTCATCCACTATTAATCGTTGATGCAAATTTTTGCTTATTTAAACCTTGACAACCTAAGATTTTGTTCAATATGTTAACTAATTACTATTCTTGATCTTCCCAAGGATAGTAAAAATAAAATTTCCTTGCTAATTCCATACTTAATTATTAAACATGCAAAGGCTAAACACTTGTCTTTATTTGATTCTTGGTTTTGTTGCACCATGTTTCTGTGATACATCATTTGTTGGAACCAATAACACATTTTTTAATGTAATAGACTATGGTGCTAAGGGTGATGGCAAATCTGATGATACCCAGGTATATGTGTTTTTGTTCTTTTTCCCTCTCTTAATTTACTTTTTCACACCCCATTTTAGGACGAAGTATATTGTTATTATTTTGGAAGTATAATATAAAATGTTGCTACTATCTTGGTACACATTCAATAGGTTTTGTCCAATTAAAAATGCTTTTGTTTTGACTTCGTGATAGGCATTTGTTACTGCATGGCAGCATGCGTGTGGAACACAAGGGGCATCAACTCTAGTTATACCACCAAAAACAGTGTTTCTGGTGAGGAACCTACGCCTAGAGGGTCCTTGTAATGCTACAAGTATTCTTATTCAGGTATTCAACTTTTAATATATTTTTCAATAAGTTTTTTAATTATTAACTTTTCGATTTGAGCATACGTATAATATTATTTGGATTTGAGCAAGGCATGCGTGAAATATCGTTTTATGTTCGTAATCACACGAGCTTTTACTTTCCTTTTGATAAGTATTATGAACTAATCTATTTTATTAACTCTATATAATTATTTATTATATTTTTTATGGATATAATCCACGCTCTGTCGAGCATTATTTTGATGTAGACAGAAATTAAAATTGAGAGTATCAAATCAATCTTCCATATTCCGAAACAATTTTTATTTATATATTATGTATAAACAAGAAAGTCACACGTAATCTCACAACATTAAGATGGAATAAACTCTATATATTTCATCAAACAATATTTTTTTTTCACCGTTTCTCCAAGAATTCCTTACAATATGCTTTATTTAAATTTCCTTCTCTCTTCTTTTCAGCTTCAAGGGGAAATAGTTGCACCTGCCAAAAATGAATGGATAAATGGTCTCACAATTGATGAAGAGTCTAATTTGATTTTGATCTCAAAAGTAAATAGTCTCACGGTTGATGGAAACGGAGGGCTAATAGATGGCTATGGTTCTACTTGGTGGGCATGCAAACGTTGTACACGACCAATGGTTTGACGATTCCAAATTCAACTTTTACCATATAATTTATTTTCTTTATATATTAATATCGACATTAAAATTGCCAAATCATTATTATTTTAGTGGTTATTAATTTTAATTTTTTTAAAACCTCAACCTATGTCAATGTACTTATGTATACTAAACCAAGTTGGTAATTATTTAAGTTGATACTTTTGTTTTCAAAAGTATGCAATTGCACATATTGTGGATCTTGATGGATTGTTCAGATGTGCCTCTATATTTAAATTGCATCAAAGTTGGTTTTAGTCCCAACCAAAAAATGCCTCCTCATGATAAAGGATAAACAAGTCGTGAACATGATGTAGAGTTCCTCTTATCCCAATTGTTGTTGTCATTTTTAAGTTTGCGTAAAAGGAGCAATTAAAGGTTGCGATTTTTCTGTCTTGTGGTTTCTTTTTCTTTATAATTGCTAAATAGTGGGTATTGTGTCACATGATATTGTATTATCACCAACTTGATTACTTATTTCAAGTTTTGTAATGATGTAAACTTTGGCTTTTGATAATAAAAAAGGGGGAAAAAACATTGTAAAAATAAGATGAAAGAGAACTTATATGTATGAATATAATAATCATATAATTAATGAGTGACTGAATTTTTCATGTTGATGATGCAGATCCTTAAATTCCTATCATGCAATGATCTTAGTGTTAGTAACCTGATGATCATAAATAGTCCAAAAGCTCACATACATGTAAATTTTTGTGATGGTGCCATATTATCTAATATCAATATTAGTGCACCTGGTGATAGTCCCAACACCGATGGAATTGATATTTCTTCCTCAAAAAATATCATAGTAGAAGATTCCACTTTCGAAACTGGTAAATCAAGTTCTCATGTTATGTACATATCAAACGTTGTGTTTGAAAATAATAACTAGTTTTGCAATATTAATTTTTATTGTATTTCCAAACAGGTGATGATTGTATTGCCATCACTGGTAACTCCTCTTACATCAATGCCACAAGAATTGCTTGTGGACCAGGTCATGGAATAAGGTTTATATAAATTGTTTCTTAGTTTATCTAATATGATTGTGCGAATTATCACTCAGTTGCACATGATGTCGAACTATACAAAAAATTTCTTTGATTAAATAAATTTCAATCTTTTTTTATTCCTAACTTTTAGTAAGTCTAATCAATAAACGTTAATGTTTTAATCAGCATTGGAAGCCTGGGTAGAAACAATGCTAATGATAGAGTGGAAGAAGTTCATGTACGAAATTGTACCTTCACAAACACCAAAAATGGAGCAAGAATCAAGACATGGATCGTAAGTAATACAACAATGGCAAATTTTCATCCTATAACTATTTTATTATAATTAATTATATATATTGTTCCTTTTCTTAATTAGTTTTTCCTGCCCGATTCAGATAATTATATAAACAATTATGAGTAGAAATATATTACAAAAAATTCTTTAATATGTTTATAATCTCTGTAGTATATGCCTTTTAGTCCCCATAAAAATAATGTTCATTATGATTCCTATAAAATATTCTTTTGCGATTTTAGTCACTACTCACTAATGTTACTTTTTAAATCCTTATAAAATTGTTAAATTTAGATTCATCTCTACAAAATTTTGTTTTAAATTTTAGTCCCTGATTGTTTTCAATAGATGATTGTAACGTCATCAATAAATAATGATAGGAACTACAATTATAAAATAAAATTTTATAGAATAAAATCAATAAAAAATTTACTGAGACTAAAACTAATATATATATATATATATAATAAGAACTTAAAAATTGTATTTAGGACTATAAAATATTATTATTATTTATGTAAAATTGGTTTAGTGTTGTACTTGATAAAACTGAGAATCAAATCCTATAACTATTTTCCCAAGTAACTTACTAACTAAAAGGAACTTTTATATATTGTCCAAATTTTTGCAGGGTGGATCAGGTTATGCAAGAAAAATCTACTTTGAGCAAATCATATTATCACAGGCTAAAAACCCAATAATTATAAATCAGTACTATAGTGATTATGTAACGGTAATCATTCTTAACTTTAGATTCTTAGTATATCTTGTGATTTCAACTTGCCTTCCCCTTTATTGCTTATATATTAAAGTTGTGTTTTGAATTTGGCCTAAATAGAATGGAGGGTTGGAAGTGAGCGACGTGACATACCGTGGATTCCAAGGAACATCTCTGAATGACAAAGCTATTACCTTAAATTGTTCCTCATCAGGTTGTTTCAACATTGTATTGGATCAGATTAACATTGTCTCTTCTGAACCAGGAGCGACGGCTTATTGCACTATCTATAATGCTCGTGGAACAGCTACATCTACGGTTCCAAATTGTTCTCTGTCGACATGAATTATTGGCTTCATATATGTATAAGCCAAATGCCTAGAAGTGGCATTTTTATGAGAACTTTAATAAATGTCATTGGGAACACCCAACTATAAGATATTGATAGACAAAAACCGTTAGTGTAAGGGTGCTGTCAAGTAATAAAATTTATTGTTCCCTCAACTGTTACTGTGTTTTTCATGTCGTGGTGATGTTTATACATCAGAATTAAAAAGAAGAAAAATGATTTAAAATTAAGAGATTGATGAGAGATAAAATTGAAATTAAGAATGAGTAATTAATTTAAACCAAATTCAATTAATTAAAATGCTTTTATGATCATGCTTTTCCACTATAAATAACCAATTAAGTAATTTAATTAATCTTGTGTGTTCTAACAAGTTTTGTTTAAAGGCAAATTAATTTACGGTACTCTTAGTTCTCTTTCAATCAACAAATGAGTATCTAATAATTAATCAAAATATTATCCCCTACTTTCTTGGTTGTTGTTTTTAATTAAAAATTAAAGCTCTTAGTTTGTTAATTAATTCGTTTTACTCCTTATATTTGATTCTATTATCGCAAATTAAAGGTTTAATCCTTTCCCATGGTTCCAGTGTTGTGGGTTCATCAACTCTAATCATCCCTAAACCCTCATGATTATTTGAAATGCAAGCCAAATTCATTCAACATACAAGAAAAGAAATAAGAAAGAATCAAAATAAATAAGAGTCACACAAGCATTAACTAATTCAATTCATTAGCAAATTCATAGGGTTTGTACCTAATCTTCAAATCAAGGAGAACATCCCATATGTAGCCATGAAAACAAGATAAAAAAAAAATAGAAAAAGAAAGCATCAAATTAGAAAGTAGAGCAAAGAAGAAGATCTAAGCATCCTTTCTCTCTCTCTCTAACTGTAGTCTTTTCTAATCTTATCAAAACAGACTCAAAACTACTAAGAGTAGCTATTCAAAACCTTAAAATATTAATTGGATCCCTCGTGAAGGTGTTAGGACTAGCTACATTGATGTCAAGAAGGTATAGATAGGTTTTTTAGAAGGCCAGGGGACACAAACCATTGTGACCAAACCCACACTATTGTTGCACTGTCTATCGACGAGATTTTGAGCTAGCTTTGTTCTCACATTGTTTTGGGGATCTCCCAAAATCATGTTGCTGCCTTTTTTTTTATTTATTAATTTCTTCAAAATAGAATCATGAATTGGCTTTAAAATAATTTCCAAAGGTCTTCATGTTCTTCCTAAGGTCCCTAAATCCTCAACTTCTTAATCTTTTAGTCAAAAACCACTTTTAGAAAAGCTAAATAGCAGAAAAACACAAAAGCGGCATAACAAATATCGCAAATGAAAAAACAAAACATAATTAGATATAAACGTTGCCAACATATTATAATGAAATGTTGTCTTTTAAAGGTCCGGACAATGTCAAAAAGATACAACAAGAATGAACTTGTAATTAATGAAGGTAAAAGATTAAATCTTTTTTTAAGTTATAAGTTAGATTTTTAGCCCATTTTTTCTTTTTATATTTTTTATTATATTTTTTTTTTCATAATTTTGACCTTGTATTTTGAAGTTAAATAGTGTATATAAAAATTTATTTTATTGTAATTTTTATTTGTAAGGATGTAAATAGTATTTTAGAGGGATATAACTAAAAAAATACTACAAGAAGTTCATTAATTAGCGACAGAAAAAGTTATAAAAATATTTGTCGCTATTTAGTAGCAGCATGTGAAAACAATTTAGGGAGATTTTATTTTGTGGCCAATAAGTCACAAATTAATATTTTTGATTAGCAGGGACCCTCTTTATTTCGTCACTAATCCCTATCAAATGTTTTCATAAACTAGCTTTTACATTAGAGAGGAAAGTTTTTTGTCGCCATTTGGTCGTTGATATCTCACATAATTTATTTACTTAAAAAGTTGATTAGATTTATAAAAAAATATATTGGATTTTTAATATATATAAATTAAACTACTATTTTAACTTGAAAAATACACATGTTAAATACTTATTATATATAAATAAAATTTAAAATAAATTTTATATATAAATTAATAATATATTTGAGTATATAAATTATATTTAAGATTTAAATAAATAGATATTTTTACATATATAAATTATTTTGAAAATATTTTTTTTTAATTCATAAATAATTATGATAAATAAAAATTGAATTGGATGCAAGATAGTTGTTTATCTTTTATATATAAGATTTAATTT